AAGCCCCCACCTGAACAGAACACACCTCCAGCCAATCAGAACATGGCCAACCCCCCAACCAATCAGAACACAGCCAAACCCCCAACCAATGAGAACACACCCCCACCCAATCAGAACACAGCCAAGCCCCCACCCAATCAAGTCACACCCCCACTAGCAGTTAAAAGGAAGAAGCAGCTGCAAGCTCACATCACTCTGAGAAGCACAGAGCTGAAGACAGAAGCCTGAAGATGATGAATGAGACTTCATCGAAACGTTGCCTAGATACTTCCAATCTTACGCGGGAGAAAACCCGAATAACCAAAGATCCACATACAAATACCCGCGAGAACCTCAGAAAACACACACACACACACACACACACACACACACATATATATATATATATATTCTCTTTAAGAACTTAGTGCATATTTTAAGAATGTATCAAGCAGACTTCGACTGGAAGTTATGTGTTATATTGAATGGTAAAGGCATAAATTGAAGTTTAAATAAGAGTTGAATGGATAAAAATTAAAAGATACAAAGGTGTCATACTCCAATTAGTAACTACAGGGAAAATTTTGTTTAATGAGAAAAGAAAATATGAAATTGAAACAGGACAGACAAAAGTATAAATATAATGACTAGAAAGGTATTGAAACTTAGAAAAAGATATATATAATTAAATTTAGAAAGGAATGAGATAATTAAAAGTAAGATTGAGAAAACTAAGGGAAGGGAAAAATTATTGAGAAAATGTTAAAATAGTAATAAGATATGGAATAGAACACAAAGATGAATATGAAATTGAGTTTGTGTCTGTATGGAGAAGTGATAACCCGGGACCATGCTATTCTCAAAAAAAGAAATTTTACTTGTATTATGTTTTGTGAAAACCCAAATAAAATTTTTATATATATAAAAAAAGTCAGGATAAGCAGCCCATCTTGGTCTATCCCTCGCTGGAGCTTAGCTTGGGAGCACAACTGGAGCCACTTAAGGGCAAAACGTGGATTTCCGGCTGGAGCTTGGTAGCCATTATAAAAGGAACATCCACACTGAAGCAGCTCATAATCCCAATAAGTGCAAGATCTGAGGCTCATAATTTAATTAGGGCATCAGTCAGAACCCTGACAACAAGCCAACTCTCTCAAAACTAATAAAAACGACCAGGATTCCTGAGCCCCGGACTCGGGTGGGATTCAAAAATCCCAGCAACTGGTTCGCTGCCCGGTTGCTGGGTGGGTGGGGCCTATCAGAACTTCCTGTTTCCGGCTTCCGGTGGGCCTCCAGAGCCCGGGGGAGGCCATTTTTGCCCTCCCAAGGGTCCAGGGGTCCCCCAGGCCTCTGGGAGGGCGAAAACAGCCTCCCCCAGCCTCTGAAGGCCCACTGGAAGCTGGAAACAGGCCCATTTCCAGACTTCCAGAAGGCCCATTTTTCCCACTCCCAGAGCCTCTGTGCAAACCCTGCACTTACCTCCATTGAAAATGGGCCGCGTGGAGAGTCCTGGGAGGGCAAGGCCAGCCGGTTGGTTGTAATACCGGTTCAGCGAATCAGATGTAACTTTAACATCCAGTTTGCCTGAACTGGCCCGAACTGGTAGAATCCCACCCCTGCCCGGACTCTCCATCCGCTCCCTGACACCCAGGCTACCATGGCAGAGGGCAGACTATCCGAAGAGAGCCTGCTCCAGGCAATCCAGAGCAGGGTAGAACTTGCTCCCACCCAGGGAACTCCAGGAACCAGCAGCCCAACTGGAATCAAATTGCAGCCCTTCCTGGGCATCAAAGCCGAGATGCCTGTCTCAGTAACTGAAATGAGTATTGGTGGAAAAAAGTCCCTGAAGCGGCTGAAGTTGAGCTCCCCAATAGATCCCCAAAGAATTTGCGGAAGTGTTCAGCAAGGCCAAGTGCAACGTCCTACCCTCCCACCGTGAGGGTAGGGAGCATGATTAAGTGAGGTCAGAGTTGGCTTCACTTGGTCCATACCGACAAGAAGCTCCTAATAAATAATTGGATTTCTTTTGAAGCTTGGCTTGAGGCTCATGATTTAATTAGGGCATCGGTCAGAATCCTGAGAGTTACAAGAGCACTGAAAAAAAATGACATATGACCATTTTTCACATTTATGACCATTACAGCATTCCCACGGTCACATGATCAAAATTCAAATACTTGGCAACTGTCTCATATTTATGACGGTTGCAATGTCCCAGGATCATGTGATCAGCTTTGCAACCTGACAAGCAAAATCAATGGGGAAGCCAGATTCACTTAACAATCATATCACTAATTTAACAACTGCAGTGATTTACTAAACTGTGGCAAGAAATATAGTAAAATGGAGCAAAATTCACTTAACAAATGTCTCAGTTAACAACATGAATTTTGGGCTCAATTGTGGACTACTGACATTGATTAGAATGTTGACTTGGTTGACCAGATCTAGCATGGTGATATTTTAAACACTAACAATTTTAAAATCTTAAATATTTTAAAATTCAAAATATTCAACATGGAATCTAAACAAAACTTCAAAGCCTGAGAAATGTGGCATTGATCTGGTCCCCCCATACATTCTTTTAACTTTCATCAGCATTTCCCTCCACCCAAGTTGATTGTCTTCAGGATTCTTGGAGAAGCTCCCATACCTGCAGTATGGCTGGGGAAAACTGACTTCAGCCACCTTTTACTTTAAAGTCCACTCACCTTTAGAGAGCTGCCTTTCAGGCCCAAAAAAGTTTGAATGTCCATGTTGACATCATTTTTACTAAGTGCCCTGAGATCTTCACCTGGAGCACCTCCTGAAAGCAAGAAGAAGAATTTAGCTGATATTCTTTACTGGTCATCTTGAATGAAAGAGCAATGGGAATTTTTTCTTGAAATAGTTTCAATAGGTTTTATTAATAGCTGCACATTTTCTAAATTATTTCAAACCAATACCCATGGTAAGCTTCCAGGGTTTCACAGCTCTATTTTGGGGCTAGTTGCAGGTTACTTCATATGACCTTATAAGTCACGGAAACACTCATTTAAACTAATGTTAGTCATAAAATGTAAATTTCCAATCCATGTGAAATGATGGTGGTCAGACAACAGCTCTTAAATCTACCCATCAAAATAGATTTTGCAATAGTTCAATTTTTGCCACCTTAACAGATATTTTGCCAGAAAGAAATGATGGGACAAGAGGAAACATAACTTATGGAATATAACAATATAGATTAAAAATGGAGTAGAAATTGATCTGATTTATATTCTCTATGCAAATTAGACTTACTATACTTGTATCTTTTTCAACCAAATAAACAAATTCAGTTAACCTATGGCAACACAATTCATGTTTGCATTCCAAATTTAGCATTGTATTTGCCTGTCTTGGATCAGAGTACCTCAGGATACCGAAGAAAAGTCTCTGTACAAATGCATGCAATCATAAAATTAATATATAAGTGTGTATGACATTTGGATAAACTATTTCTATTAAAAATGTATACATTAGGCAGAAAAAGTCCATGCTTCAGTTCATATATTGCATTAAGAGAAATATATATAGTACATAAAAACACTGAATTGACACTACATACTGCATATATGTAGTGTATAGTACACATTGAAATTGACAGTAGACATTGAAATTGACAGATTTGTTTGGACTCATAAAATTGACTTTGAGGCAAAATAGTTATGCTTATTGACATGTCAAAAGCGCTGTCTGATTTGCAAATGTACACTTCACTTTTGCAAACAGGTTTGTCAGAGTTGCCATCTTACACTTGAGTTTTGCATTTGTGAGCTGTCAATCTACCATGAACTGTGGGGGAGGAGTGAGATGAGAGGAAGCAAAGCTACTGGCTCATCATACCTTCCAGAGACACAAGGTCAGAGCCTGGAATGGAATGCAATGGCTCACCAGCCAACCAGCCGTTGAAGAAACTGTTCTCAAAACAGTTTATTCAAATGTAATTGGACAATAGGGAACCAGAGGAGGAGAGGAACCAGACGGGAAAAGTGAACCAGGAAATTTTGGCGTGTGAACTTCAGTTCTGGCTTTGCTATATTGTAATCCACTTGACTTTTAGTAAACTTATATCTTTCACTTCAAATGGAGTTGAGGGTCTTTCTAAGGGACCAAGACGGGGCAGGTTTGACATTAAGCCAGAACTGCAACAACAATTCATCTGGAAGAATTATCTGTCATGAGAATTGAAGAGGCGGCAAGACCCTGTAGCTTCCAAATGCTCTTCCAGGGTAGGCTCATGCAGAGGGCATTACAATAGTTCAACCATGAAACTCAGTTCTCCAGGGACTGAAGGACTGTGTGCAAGGAATCCTGATCCAGGAAAGGCTGCAACTTCTGCACAACATGAAGTTGTGCAAAGGCTCTCCTAGCCATGACTCCTTGAGCAGGAGTTGCGAGTCCAGGAGAACCCCCAAGTTGTGGACTAGATCTTTCTGGGACAGGGCCACCCCATTTCAGAGTCAAAGATGACAAAATCCCAGGTCTTGGAGTCCCATGCACCCAAAGTCATTTGGTCTAACCAGAGTTCAGTCAAACCTGTGGTTCCCCTACCCAGGCCTCCACAGCCTCCAGGCACAGTGAGAGGGCAACCCCAGCATCACTTGGGTCAATAGAGAGTTGGGTATCATCAGCAAATACCTCAACCCAGGGTGATGGACGATCCTACCTAGCAGTTTCATACAGATTCATATAAAAGTAGTAGAGGCAGTATTGAGCCCTGTGGTGACCACAAAACAGCAGCTGAGGGCTGGACCTCCTGTTCCCTGTCAATACCAGCCATGGAGAAAGGAGCCGAATCAATGCAGAACAGGGCTGCCCAGTCCCCCCAGTTGACCCAAAATACCATGGCCGATGGTATAGAAAGCCACTGAGAGGCCAAGGAGAGTGAGGATGGTTGCACTATGCCCATGCCACTCTCGCCAGAGACCAATCAGAATAGAATAGGAAGGGACCTTGGAGGTCTTCTAGTCCAGCCCCCTACTCAAGCAGGTGGTCCTATACCATTTCAGACAAGTGACTATGCACAGTCTCTTCTTGAGAACCTCCAGTGATGGAGCACCCACAACTTCTGAAGGGAAGCTGTTCCACTGGTTAATTGCCCTCACTATTAGGAAGTGTCTCCCTAATTAGTTTTCTTGTCCTGCCATCTGGTGCTATGATGACCCAGGACAAAGCACGAAGGCCACACAACCAGCGGAGAGTTCAAACTTCCCTTTAATGCTCCAACTCTCCCGCTAAACACTCCCGTGTTATACAAGTCCCAGAGCAAAGCGCTCAGACACACACAGCAGCCTCTGGCTGCGAGCAGTCCAGCGAACGCTGTTAGTATAACGGCTTCAAAGAAGTCCAGCAAGGCAAAGGAACAAAGAAATGAATCCACGAAGCAAGGAAGAAGCAAGCAGGCCTGCAAACGTCAGATGTCGGCAACGGCATCCAAAACTCCACCAATTCAGCATTGTTCTTGACACCCCTCCCCACAGCGTCTCCTTAAGTCTCAGTCCCCGTGTGCCTTTGTGAAGAGGGGCAGGGCGCTCTCCTGCCAAGTTGTCAGGTTGGCCTGCGCTGTTCCCATCTCCTCTCCGCTCTTTGTGCTCCAGGATCAGGAGGGGGCGGTCCTTGCTCTCCTCATTTCCACTGCCTGCCCCTTCTCAGTTGTCCTGCCTTGTTCCTCCCTGCTGGCAAGCTGTCCCAAGCCAGAGGGGCCTGGGGCTGCCTCATCCTGCTCCTCCCCACATTCCTCCAAAACCAACAAAGCCACCCCTTCAGTCTCTGTCAGCCACAGCTCCAGCTCAGCCTCCCCTGAGAATTCAGTTGCTTTGAAAAATAAGTTGACTTCCTCCTCTTTGTGGCAGCCTCTCAAAACACTGGAATGCTACTATCAGGTCCCCCCAGTCCTTCTTTTCTCTGGACTGGCCAAACCCAAACCCTGCAGCCATTCTTCACATGTTTTCGTCTCCAGGCCTTTAATCATCTTAGTTGCTCTTCTTTGCACTTTTTCCAAAGTCTCAACATCTTTTTTGTAATATGGTGATCAAAACTGGATGCCGTATTCCAGGTGTGGCCTTACTAAGGTTTTATAAATTGGTACTAAATACTTCATGTGATTTTGATTCTATGCTTCTGTTATTCAACGGATTGGCTGCCGCCGCAAACAGCTGGCTCATATATAACTGATCATCCACTAGGACTTCCTTAAGGGCATCTGGAAATGTCCCTTCCTCTAGTGCCGTATTACTGAATGTCTGGAGCCACCCACCAGTCACCATCCAGGAGGGACAAGAATGTAACTGACAGGTGAGGTCCACTTATCAGGGCCAACAGGATCAAACCATTTCCAGATAAGAAGGCAAGGCCTCACCCTGAGCCTCTTACCCGGACCAACTAAGAATGGATCCAAGGGACTTTGTTCAACAGGTGCTAAACAAACTCCTCTGCTCAGCCCTGCAAAAGGTCACCTGACATCCCCACCAGGTTCCCTCCCCCTCCCCTTGTCTGCTTTCTATCCACCCATCTTTTTATTGTTCTTCTGTTCTGTTGGCACTCTTTTCATTTCTTCCTTTTTATTGTTGTAAGCAGTGGTGGGATTCAAACAATTTAACAGCTGGTTCTTCCTAATGACTGGCTGGGTGGGCGGGGCCAACTCTACATCACTCGCGTGGGTGGTGTGAGGGAATCCAGGAGTCTCTGGTAGGTGGGGGTGGGAGGAAAGAAAGAAAGCTCTCTCTGTGTGTGTGGTGTGTGTGTGTATGTGTGTGTGTGTGTGTGTGTGTGTGAGAGAGAGAGAGAGAGAGAGAGATCTAATCCAACCTCAGAGACTTATCCAGGGCTGGCAACGATTCTCTCTCTCTCTCTCTCTCTCTCTCTCTCTCTCTCTCTCTCTCTCTCTCTCTCTCACACACACACACACACACACACACACACACACACACACACAAACACAGAGGTTCCTCACCCCCTCCCAAAGCAGCCACATCCTAACCTGCTTTCCAGCTGCATTCTCCGCTATGCGTGCAGGGGAAGAAAAGTTGCTTGTGGGACTACAGTAAAAAAAACCATTCAGACCTTTTTGCCATGACAAGTTGGAAAGTCTGAACAATTTTTTAAGTAGTCCCACAAGCAACTTTTCTTGCCCTGCACATGCAGAACAGAGCCAGAAAGCAGGTTTTTGTGTGTGTGTGTGTGTGTGTGTGTGTGTGTGTGTGTGAGAAAGTAAAAACAAAGGAATGGCTGGTTGGAATGATAGTCAGATTTCAACCGTGCCCGGTGAGCAGACTCTGAGACCTTCGCCTACAGATGGCCATCGCACAACCCCCTGTGAAACCACCCCCCGAGCAGCGCCAGGGCTGGGGAGGCCACCGGAGGAGCTCCACATGGCCCCTGCCTGCTTCTGCTTTGCCTTTGCCAAGGTGGGGGGCACTAGAAGGCGCTGTCCTTGGCTGGCCAGTCCAAGTGCTGTCCCAAAGCCAACAAACAAAAGCCCTGTGTCCAGCACCACCACCGGCCAAGATCAGCAGGCAGGCAATCCAAATGCCCTGTGCTTGTTCGGCCTCTCCCTTAGTGTAAAATGGTTTTTGCCTGTCTCTTTCTGGGCACAGGGCTTCTGTTTGTTAGGCCACTTCCCAAAGCAGGCATCTCCGCGGCCAGCTGATTCGCTTTTTCCCTCTTTTTCCTCATGGGAGGATCATGAGAGGCTTGCACAGTGGCAACGGCAGAAGGTAGAGGCAGAGGCATGGAGGAGGCAGGCGATCCAAGTGCCAGCACCAATGGATGCTTGCTTAAATGGACACTTGCTCTGATGATCCAGGCAGCTGAGATTGCCTCTCTCCCTCCCCCCAGTGAAATGGGTGCCAAGGGGTGCGCCCAAGCAATGCTCCGGCATCGAAAAAACCTTCTGTGATGACTCGGGGTGTGACACACAAATAACCAAGTCACAAAAATAGAAGAAAGTCCCTTTATAATGTCTTCAACTTGGCCCCAATGTCCAATTATCCTCGGCTGGATATCAAACTCTTTAAAAAAAAATAGCTTACAGGGGGAGTAAATGCAGTCCGCATCCAAAGTAAAGTTAATTCGAAATAAAAAACCTAACACATCACACTGAAGGAATTACTACGGCAGGCAAGGATACCATGGTGTTATGTCCCACCTTCTAAAATAAACAGTTAAGGCTGAAAGCAGCAGTCCTTGTAAAGAAAGGCAGCAAACAGGAAAATGTTATGTCCCACCTTTTAAAGTAAACAGATAAGGCTGAAAGCAACAGTCCTTGTAAAGAAAGGCAGCAAACAGGAATTTTCACAGATAGCTCCAATAAGTAAAAGTTCCAACGAACTAAATCCAAGACTCAACAAGATTCTTCAGATCAAAATCCTTCACAAAATAATTCCAATAAGTAGAAGTTCCAACGAATTAAATCCAAATCCCAACAAGATATTTCAGATCAAAATCCTCCAAACTGTGCTCCTCAGTTCTCCTTGCAAATAGACACTTTGTTCCGGACAAAGTGCAAAGTCATATCTCTCCCTTTATAGAGTAACTAATTAGTCTAATTGCTGGTCTGCTCTCCTACTGTATCCTCGTTGGTTCCTCCTTGTCAGGAGACGTCTTGTCCTGACATCTACCCAGCAATCATCCAAATTATCATCTTCTTCACCTGAAGATATCATTGGTTCCTCATTATCACCCGTTCCCGGCTGACCACCTAATTGAAGGGTGGAGGAGTTTGAAGGTTCAAGCCGATCTTGCAAATCAAATGCATTCATCTCCTCCTCATCGTTAGAACTTGCTGATTCATATAAGTCCTCCTCGCTGGAGCTGTCATTCAAAAAACCTGTAGCAGATGCCGGAATCACAACACCATGGTATACATGCTGATGATCTTAAATACTTACTGTAACAGCTTGCTTTATGCTGATGATATGATTTTATTATCATACACACAAGTAGGCTATTAAGAAGCTTTAGCTATTATTGCCAGGATAACTCTCTAATCATTAGTAAATCTAAATAAAAAATAATGGTGTTTGGAAGAAACCATCAGAGACATAGGTGGCAATTGGATGGTGAACCAATTGACAGGTTAATTCCCTTGTATATTTGGGTGTAACTTTTTCCAAGACTGGATCTTAGGCCTGCCATCATCAATGAAGTACATTTAGAGCAAAAGCCCATTTGAATTTATTGCTCAAACTAAAAAACCATAGTTATCCAGGGTCCCTGGTCCCATTAATCAAGGTTTATAAGGCTAAGGTTACCACAATGCTCTTGTATGGAGCGGAAATTTGGCGTCTTTACTCAACTACAGTCCTAGAACAAACACAGTCCCAGCATTTGAAATGTATTTTGGGTGTAGACCCAAGAACATCTGCTGCAGCAGTTAGAGCTGAACTGGGAATTTATACAATTCAGGCATTATCTAAAATTCGAGCTTATAACTCCTGGTGCAAAGTTAATGAAATGGAGACTGATAGACTACCCAAATTATGCCTACTAGAGCAAATAAAACTACAATCACAAATCTCCTGGATCATTAAACTAACAAATTTTGTAAGAAGCTGTGGTCTTCCCATCTCTTGTGTAACAGAACAATCTAAAAGAAGAGTTGCCCAAAGAATTAAGGATATAGATGCACAAACTGATATAGCTATCCTTAGTAAGGTAGGTAACTACTTGAAGTCACAACTCCCAAAACATCTTAGGGAGATAGTCACGAAAGCGAGATTTGAACAGCTTGACACAATGGTTAGATACGGGAGATTTTATGCAATACCGTACAATGAGAGTCTCTGCATTTGCAGAGTGGCAGAGGTAGAGGACCTGGCTCACATCTTATTTGGCTGTTGCCTGTATAAGAGGATGAGAGATAGGTATCTTGGTCTATATATCAGACGAATGACCCATTGGGATAAGCATATCAAAATAACTTACCTTATGTCCGGCCAGAACTTGAAAATAACATTTAAAGTAGCACAGTATTTAAACAAAATGATTCGGTTGAGATCTGCATATGTGGGATTAATTGGGGGAGATTGCAAGGGTGTCTCCGAAATATGTTATTATATTTTATCTATACCTTAAATTATTGTACATTACATTATTACAATTTTATTTTGGATTGTATTTTATTACTATTACATTTTAAATCGTATTTTGTCTAGATTCCATTTTAAATTGTATTTTATCAAGTTCCATTTTAAATAGTATTTTATCAAATTTCATTTTGAATTGCTTTTATTAAATTTTAGTAACAAATTGTTGCTGGAACTTTGCACTTTGATGTGGCCCAAGGGCTAATCAATAAAGACTTATTATTACTACGGCAGGCAAGAATGCACGCTTTGCACTCCACTCCCTGTCAGCTGTTCCATCTCTCCTTCGGAGTCAGACTCCAACAGGGGCATGACACCTTCTCTTACCCTTACCCTGTGTGAAAATCAGGGCCTTTTTACTTCATCATAGGCCAAAAAGGAGAGAACAGCTGGGCTGCAGGGCATGATTCTAGGCAAGTGAGGTGAGATAAGGAGTGGCTGGGAGGGGCGGGACCAGCCAGTGGTGCAATCAGCCGATTCTCCAAACTTTGCAAAAAGTTAACAATCGGTTCCCTTGAACCAGTGAGAACCAGCTTGAATCCCACCTCTGGTTGTAAGCCACCTAGAGTAGCCACACAGCAAGATATGTAGCAAATAAATTTAACAAATAAATAAAAATGTAACATCTTCAATTAGATGTAATTCATATAGCATGCACAACTCTAAGGCTTAGTGGCTATGTTCAGGAGCAACCCAAGTCATGACTTAATCTAATTACTCAATTCACCCAATCTATAAGGACAATGGCTTTTTCTCAGAAAATTCTGTGAACCACAAACTACTTGACACAGTTTTAGCCTAGCCTTACCTTTGTATGCGTCATATTAAGCTAAACATGGCCTTACTAACTTAGATTCATCCATTCATTCAAATGTTTTCATACATACTCCCTCCCCAATCTGGGGACTATATTGTTTACACAGATGGAGTTTAAAGGCAATTCAAGACTTGATTTCAAATTGTTGTTCAACAAGCTCTAAACCTCAACTGGACTTTCCTCAGTCAATGTTTCTGCTTACCTAGAAATGGTCTGATCCGTTTATAATATTCACTGTATTCATAGTGACGATCTGAAAAGGCCCGCTTGGCTTTGGGATACAGATGATCCTTGATGGCTGAGGAGCAATTGGATGGGTCAAGGAGAGTGGCCATCCTGCCAAGAAAAGGCAAGGTAAGGAAAAGAAAGGGATCCAGCTCTCGCAATACTTCCTACTTGCCTCAATTTCACTTCTCCACAGGATTTTCAAAAATAATGCTTTTAGTAACACCTAAGCTACTGACCAGAAGAACTAGCTGAAAGGAGCAACATCAGATATTCAGCTTAATTTTGACTTTCTTTGGGATGGGCTCTTCCTCATCTGTATAGCTCGGGCTTCATCAATAAGATATAGCAATAGTGCTTAGACTTATATATCGTTCTACAGTCCTTTATAGCCAGCTGGATGACATTGGACTAGTCACTTCCTCTCAACCCAACCCACCTCACAGGGTTGTTGTTGTGGGAAAATTAGAAGGAAGCTATGTTGGAAATATTTGCTGCCTTGGGTTAGTTGTAAAAATAATAAAGGTGGAATACAAAGAAATAGATAAATAAATAGATGTTAAAAGAATTCACTCACTCAATGCTCTTTTCAGTTATCATGCTGAACTGGTCCTCATTCAGGAGACAGATGTATGGCCCGAGCACATCCAGAAAATCGCTATTAATTTGCTTTCTCGATTCAATGTAACGCTGAATAACTGCAATTCTCTAAAACAAATAATTCCAGAGTCGAAAGCAAGCCACTTGCAATCTTATGTTGCTTTAGCTTTCCCAAACCTATACCTTCCAAATGTGCTAAAACAGCCACTTCTAAAATTTGGGAATACACTGGATTACTGGAAATTATAGTACCAACAGACCTGAAGAGTGGCAACTTGGCTTCATATATCTGGAAAGGTTGCTGTTTTTCAACTGCACATACAAGTTGAAATAGCAAATGTTTGTGTGTGTGTTTGTGTGCGTGTGTGTTGTGTGTGCTGAGTTCCAGAGGCATTGTCTAAGAACTCTGAACATTATAATTCATAGAACTGTAGTGACTAGATCGGGTGTCAGCAACCTGCAGCTCTTTGGGCCCTCTGCTGTGGCTTCCTGTCCCATCATTGGCTAGCCCTGCCCTCGCCCTCCCCTCCCCTCCCTTGCCTGGCCTGAGAAGTTAAGGGTGACAGTGGGGGATGGAGAAGTGGCCGGGGCTGATTCTCCAGCGCCTCATTCTTGCTAGAGCTTCTTCTGACCCTTGTTGGTGTTGGGTGTGCCTTGGTCACTTGGGGAGATGCGCAACCTGCTCTCCGCCTTGAAACACTGGCCTGACCACGATCAATGCCAACTTTGCTAACATGAGGGCTGGCGGGGTGGGAATGAGATCTGGGGGGAGGGGATGATGGAAAGGGGACAGGCCTGCAGCACCCAGCCATGGCTTTAAGAAATTCAAGGCAGCGGGTAAAGGGAGCTGGCCCCACTGAACCTTACCACCTCACTCTCTCTCTCTCTCCCCCTCCTTCCCTCCCTCCTCCTCCCTCCCCCTCTCTCTCCTGGCTGAGGAACAAGTGCCAGCCATGGCGGAGGCTTCCCTTCACGTGACCCTCCTCCTCCTCTCATGACCCCTGGCTGGAAAGGCCAGGAGGGTATGTTCATGCGGGGAGACCCTCCTTAAGCGAGCGGTTGCCTGCCCTGCGCAGGCCAGGGGGGCCACGAGAGGAGAAGGAGGGAGAGGAGGGTCCTCCAAAGGGAAGCCTCTGCCATGGCTCTGGCCAGCCCAGATTTCAAAAAAGGAATAAGGGGGGGG